TAATTTGTGGTTGCAATGAGAAATGGAATTAAAGAAACCTTGTAAGTGATGTGTCATAGCTGTGAATTCTGTCACAGCAGGATCCCTTCAGTGCTGTGAAGGATGCCTGGACACCTGAATCACTGCTTTGCTTTCTGAAAGATGACAGCAAACACCTTCCTGCAGGGAGCACTCAGCAAGACAGTGGAATGTTTGAAGGGTAAAATGTGAACTAGAGACACAATTTTAGCAGGAGACTGTTTGCCCTGCCCTGGAGAGCAAAGGGAGGATTAACTCCTGGTATTTCTGCTGCTGTCACCCCTGCTGGTGGTCAGCAGTTTGGGGAAGACACAGAGAGGTGTCACTGAGCACAGCTCAGCTCAGGAAAATCAGAGGTTTGCTCTGTAGGGCAAGGAAAATTGTCACAGTGTGGGAACAGAGGTGGGAAGGAAAATCCTCTCTGCAAAGTGAAGGGATTTGGGAGCAACTTCATCTCCAAGAGATCTCAGGGCAGTAAGAAAGATTTTGGCAATGCTGAGCCAGGGCATGGACACAGAGCAGGGGGAAAGAGCTGTTCCTGTGCCTGGAGGATGGGCAAAGTGGAGGGGACAAGTAAAAAGGAGACAGACTGATCAAGGAATGGATTTAGGCAAATATTAATGTATAACTTCATGAAGATGCAGGTATTATTTGTAATTATTTATTGATTATCATGCAAATCAATGCCATCAGGGGAGGTTTAGGCTGGATGTTAGAAAAAAGGTTTTTCCTCCAGAGGGTGCCCTGGCTCCCCAGGGAATGGGCACAGCCTCAAGGCTGCCAGAGCTCCTGGAGTGTTTGGACAGGGATGCCCAGGGTGGGGTTGTTGGGGTGTCTGTGCAGGGACGGAAGCTGGGCTTGACAGTCCTTGTGTGTCCCTTCCAAGATGGGACATTCTGTGCTTCTTATCAATTTTAAAAGATTTAAAAGACAGTAGGATTAGAAAGAAATTTCAACTAAATACTTAGAGGTGTGTGCAGTGTCTTTTTTCAGCCCTTTGTATACTGTCAAGGAAAGTTATGCACAAAGTTACTTAAACTGTGTGGTTGGAAAGTGTTCCCATGGTAGTTATCAGTCTTTGGAGGAATCTCCTGGGAAATCCTGAGCTGCAGTTCCTTAGAAGTTTTAAAGAGAAAACCACACAGTCTGTTTTGCCTTGCAGACATGGCTGGGCTGGTGACACATTTTTTATCTCTGAATTTGAATCCTCTCCAAGGTCTGTGATTGCCCTTCCATTAAATGGCTTTGTGGCATGGCTGGAGCAGGGGGACATGGAGGTCCTGGTGAGGTGGGGATCACCTGGCTGGGGAGCAGCATTCAGGACACCACAGGTGTAAAAAAGGGGATTGTACAGACACCTTTGGACTGGGACACAGCTTGGGAGCTCTGGGTGAGCTGCTGTGTGCCACTGTGTATTCAGGGATCAGAACAGAACCACTCTGGAGAGCCCCAGTGGCTGCCCTCAGGTTTCTCTGTCTGTGAGCCAGAGCTGGGATGTGTTGCAGCAATCTGGGCAGTGATCTGTGCAGCCCTGGTGTTTGTTCCAGTGTGGTTTGCTGTGCCTGGCTCTTACAGAGGTTTGTGCTGCTGCTCCTGTTTTCTCAGAAGGGATCTTTATTCCCTAACATAATGTAATGCATGACAATTCCAAACCCAGCTGCCAGCACTTGGGGAGATCCTGGCTTTTCATGGATACCTCTTCCAGCTGGGCTGCTGCAGCCTCTGCTTCTTGCTAGATTTTACCTGACTTCACACATTTTGTTGCAAGATTTCAGGTATTTTATCCAGAGATTTTCGGTGAATGAAGAAAATCAGTGTTGGATTGCATTTTTTGTGCTTGAATGAAACCAAAAAATTCCACAGAGGAGAGGAGCCCCAAAAGACCCAGTGCTGATTTTGATGACTATTCAGTGAAATATCCTCAAGAAGAAAACCATTTTTGCTTATAAATGAAAAGCATTGACTAGCTGCTGTTATGGAAAACAGGAGATGCAGTTGTTAACCAAAATGGCTGTGAAGAAAGACAGCTCCACAGAGTCTGATTGAATTTTAATCCCTTCCCAGAATCCAAAAATCTTTGCATTGGCAAATACCACCCGGCCACAATGGAAATATCCAGAGCCAGGGTAGCCTCAAATACAGAGCAGAGCTTGCAGTGAAACCAAAGATGTGTTAAATCAAGAGCAAGAAAACCTTTTTTTAATTTTTTTTTTCTTTTGAAAGCAGATAAAAGATGATGAGAGCAAGGAAACATTTGCTTCACTCTTTGAGAATTTCAGTTCTGAAAGTTTCCTGTGGCTGCCTCTCAGAGCCTGGGGCAGGGAGAGGAAGCCCTGCTAGTACAGAAATGGGAGTGGAGATGGCTCAGATGGATCCTGCCCCAAACCAAGAAGCACACATGTGATTAACAGTGTGGTGTTAAACCCAGCACAAGGTTTTAATGTTAATTAAAGGCTTTTGGCCTTCCCTGAGAGCATTTAAGTGCTGAATTCTTCTCTGTGCTGCTGGAACCTGTGATGGAACCTGTGCATGTCATCCCTGCCTCTGGTATCTTCCACATCAGCTGGAGCTGGAGAGTTTGGACTCTTTCCCTGGCATTTTCTGTGTGTTCTGTGCACTCTGCCCAGCAATTAATCCCATTCCTCCCACTGCCTGTGGGTTTGTCCTCCTCCCACACCTGGGATGGGGCAGTGGCAGAGCTCCTTTGGCTCACTCTGTGCTTGGTTTCCCAAAGGGAAATGGAATCTGTGACTTCCAAGGAGCTGACCCAGAGCCCAGAGGATGAGAAGTGATTTTGGCTTTCTGGTTTGATCCTCTGCTGTTTCTCCTGCTCAGAAGGAAAGTGTGTCATTCTCCAGCAGTGCTGGTTGATTCCTCTAATTCAGAAAGCAGAGAAAAGTTAAAAACTGGAGAGAATTTTATGTCCCAAGTGTGCTCATGCTGCTTCAATCACTGCTTGTAGCAAGAAAACCTGGTACTTCAAGATCCTTGAAGTTCTTATTTATTTGAAATTCTTATTTACCTAAAAATTGAAGCATTTCATCAGGAAAAGAGTCCTGAGTACTTGGGAATCTTACAAAGAGGATGAGGACCCACATCAGCTACATTGCCAGGCTGAGTTCTCAGCTTGAATCAGTTCTCTGATCTTCCTGTATAACCAGAGAGCAAAGGGTTAAATTCTGCCAGGAGTTGGAGTATATTTGCATATAATTGTCTAATCAGGGATTGAATGGCCTTTTGGAATTGTGCACTGAGCTGTGTCTGAGAACCATGTCTTGGCTGAAAGAATAAGTGAGATTTAAGCAGCTTGGGAGGGAAATGTCACTGAACCCCAGAAAGGTGCAGAACAGCAGCTTAGGGGCTTGTCCTGGGATTGAGAGCCAGCCCACAAATGTGCCAGGGAGGCTCAGGCTGGGTACCAGGGAAAGGCTCTTCCCCAGAGGGTGCTGGCACTGCCCAGGCTCCCCAGGGAATGGGCACGGCCCCGAGGCTGCCAGAGCTCCAGGGGCTGCCAGGGGTGCCCGGGGTGGGGCTGTTGGGGTGTCTGTGCAGGGCTGGGGCTGCCCTGGGTGATCCTGGGGGTCCCTCCCAGCCCAGGACATTCTGTGTTCTAAGGTTTGCTTTGAGGTGCTGACCAGAGGATTGGGGTTTTCTTTATTTAGTTGTTTTTATTTGGAGAGCACATGAATCATTAGTAAATCCAAGCAAAAATCCTGCTGGAATTGTTTTCTGCTTTACTTCCTCCCTGTATAAGTCCCTGTACTGGGATTGGTGTAGGCACCTCTGAAGTACCAGAGAGGAAAGGAGTTAAAGTTGGATCAGCATTGACTGCATGGTGGATTTTAATTGAATGCCCTCAGCTCCTCATTGACAGATCTGGCATTAACCTGGAAGCATTCAGACTTCAAAGCATCTTTTGTGGATTTTGAGCAGAATATTTTAGTCTTGTGCTGCTACTTTTTTTTTTAGGTGTTAAACACGGTGATGAATATTAAGATTTTTTTTTAATTTTTTTTTTTACTTAGAGAAAAAGGAGTAACATTGAAGAAAGTTTAGACAGCTGTAGTAGCAAATGCCAAGTGTTCTTTTCTGTGGTTGCAGCCTGTTTTCAGGATAATGCCAGCATTGTTGTTCTGCTGATTTAGTTGGTGATCTCCTTTTACAACCAGCCCAAGACTACAGAGAGAATTTTCTCTCTCTGATATTTTCCTGCTTGTAAACCTTTGTGGTTTGGGTCATTGCTGTGACCAATGACTGCAGGGATTTGGCTGAGGAAATTCTCCTTTCTAGCTGAATGCATCAAGTAATGAAGCCTTCCCATCCTCAGCACTCCCCACCTCAGAGCAGTGTAATTTGAGAGGGTGTCAGGGCACCCATTTCCTCCTTCACTGACCTGTCAGCTGGAGCTCTGCTAATGGAATTGTTTAGAGACTAATGTGCTGCCGTTTTAAAATACACAGTCAATATAAAAATACAGAATGAGATTATGTACTCTAAATGACATCTGCTTTAAGCTCTGTGCTGCTTAAGATACTTTACATCTGTAAAATTCTGCAGCTGCCTGTCCTGCATAAATTACTGCATGGAAAGAGGTGCTGGATTGTCACTAAAGGACAGGAAACAACACTGCTCTCAAGGTAGAAAAAAGGAAATTTATTTTATTTATTTCTGACTCCAACATTTATAGATTTCCAAAAGTGACAGTGGATTGGAGGGTGACAGTGCCACCTCTCCAGTGACACTGTACAAACCAACAGTCCATCAAATTTCTCCTCCTCCATAAAAGAATACAAAACAATGAGTTACTTACAGAAAGTGTGTGAGAAAGTTTGCTACAAGATGTAAACATCAGAAAGCTTAGAAAATCTTAAAAAACCTGGGTGACACTGGGTTTTGTGAGCTCTTTTTCCAGGAAGGTGATAAGATTGTTTTCCTAGTTATGAAGCTCTGGACACATGAATCACATTCTTCCTCCTTTGCAGATCACAGAGGCCTTGTTGAAGGAGAGAGATAAGCAGGCAAAATGGAATGGGATCCCCTTGCTGTTGCAGAAGCTGTATGAGCACAGCCACCCAAACAGTGACTTCTCCCAGTGCCAAAGCATCCTAAAGGTACTGCCTGCACCCTTCTTCCTAAAGCTTCAGATGATTTTGTTGTGGTTTTCTTTAAAGTCTACTGTGCTCATACTGTATTAATTTCTTTAGCTGTCTGCATGGTGATATCTGTCAGAAATTGGCTGGTTGGTAAGAGCTGGGGGTGCAGGTGATGATTAGTCATACAGATAGTGGAAGATAATTGTGTTTACAGTGATGAGCAGTTTTCTTTTTGAAGCATCTCTTTATTTTTCTCCTACCTGCAGGAAATTTCTCCACTTCTCTCGATGGAAGCCATGGTTTATGTCACAGAAGACAGAAAAGCTGCTCAAGAGTCCAGTTTCCCCAACACATACACGTTTGATTTGTTTGGAGGAGTCGATGTGAGTGTGTTTTTTCAGTATCTAAAGATCTGCATGATAATCATCCCACTGAAAAATCTGTTCAGTGAGATCTTTAAAGCTTCTAAATGCAAGCTACAAATTTACCAATTTAATGTTAAGCATTAGAATTGTGCCACTTTCTGTTAATCAAAATTGGAAAAGGGTGTATTATTCAAGGTATTACATCCAAAGTGAGGTGTTTTGTTCTTATATGATACAGAATACCTGGCTGTTTCTTAAGTCAGTCTTTTTTTACCTTAAAAAAGATTAGACCTTTAGTTCTGAATGAAGACAGTTTCAAATGATTCCTGGTTGTGAGATAAAATAACACATTTGGCATTGGAGCAGTGAGAATTTCATTGGGGGATCTGTGGCAGTTTAGGCACACCAGGACTCTGTTTTAACCAGGTTGTTTGTGTTTATTGCTTCATCTCTGGCAAAGTTTTCAAGCAGAACTGGAAGGTTTCTGTGGACATTCTGGCAATTTATCATTTTGTTTATTTGCTTTAATTCTACATTGCACAAATACCCATTTGCTCTGTTTTATGGTGCCCAACTCTGGCTTGGCTTTCATTAGAAATGTATTATTTGTATTTTCCAGTGAACTAATTAACACTCTCTTTAGTTTAACCAAACAGATTTTGCTATTTATTTCTTGTCACATTTATTTTTTGTTATTTTGTCTTTGTAACAGAAATTACATTTTTGTTATTTTATTTTTTACACAAGTAAAAGCTTGCTTTAACTTAAAGCTGCTGTTGATGTTTTGAAATGAGCACTGGTTTAGTTGCTGCTGTCAGTTGAGGGCAAAAGCCTTCAGCTACCCAAACAAATGAGAACACTATGAAAATATTTTAAATTTCCCTTGTTTTTAAAGGAAAATAGTGGTAATTTTGTATAAATTATTTTAACATAGTGCACAGAATCTGTGTGTTTTGGGGACAAGTTTTTGGTTTGGTTGGTTGGGGCTTGGTTGGCATCTCCCTTGGGCTGGAGATGGTAAATATCAGATCCACTGTAATTACCTGGTGCTATGGTCAGAGATTTGGATTGAGGTGGGTTTAATGTGATTAAAGGCAGTGATGGAAGCCAGTGCTGTGTGTTTTCAAAAATCCTGCTCTAGGATCTGAAAGGGAAGAAGTTTGATCTGCTGGTGCTGTGTGTGCCACGTGCTGATTTATGTTGCAATATTTTGAGCTGTGGAACGTGAATAACTTTGAAGGGCACTCAGTTTGCTGTGTACTCTCTAGGCTACAGTGTGTGAGAGTTAAAATATTTTAGGATTCTGACAGCCTTTACATTGAGGAAGAACAAAACCAGCTCGGTGGCTCCTCCCTTTATATGAATCCATGTAAAATAAAGACTTCAGAGTGCAAATACACAAACCTCCTGGATTTTATACCTGAATGTAACCCCATCCCAAGAAACACAATCTCATAATTCCCTTTCTGCTTCTTCTGCCTCTGGTGAGATGCAGAAACCCCAAGAATTAAGGCATAAACCCCAAACTTTGACATGTGCATTCTCCTCCTAAAACAAACAATTAATATGAGATCTGTATTACTGCAGTCATTTTTCTCTACCCTATTAATGCTACAGCTACTGCTACAAATACTGCTAAAAATGTGTATTCCTCTTAAAAGCTGCCTATTTATTTGTTTGTTTGTTTGTTTATTTATTTGTTGGTGCTTTTAGTGTAGCTTCCAGTAATGTCAAGGTGGTTTCCTCTGTGTCTGGATCAATAGTTCATTAAAAGAAGATGGTACAAATAGATTAAGTTGTAAACTCTTAAATATCTTGTGAGTTGGCACTGATATTTATTACTGGGTGATGCCTGCATTGCTGTCAACAATTTTAAACTGAATTTTAAAACCAGCATCATTTGCAGTAGTTCTTGCAGAAGTCATCAGTTACTTCTGTTTGCCAACTTTCATTTTGAAATCAACTGCTGTTTTTTCAAAGGTTTTAAGCCAAACCAGTGGTACAGACTAGAACAACTAAAGTTCAGTTCTACATCAGTCAGAACCACAGTCCTGGACTTGGAAAGCTGATTGTTATATTCCTTAAATAGAAATATATATAAATATACATACAGGATCCTGGAGCTGCTAAATTCTGTCTGGACCTGAAATGTTTGTGAAGCCCAGCAAGATTTAGAGAAAGCCTTTGCAAAATTTGCATCTCTTTGCAGATTATTGCTAAAGATTCCTTCTTTTAAGAGATGTGTGATCACCATCCTTGATGTTATCTGGAGGCATGTGAAATTACATTCCTTGCAAGCTCAGATTCTTTAAAACTTGCCAGTGGGGGATTATTTTGTACAGCTCTTACTGTTTCTTCAGGGTAAATGCAACTATAATTTGTCAATATGATTTTGACACCAGTGGGGGTTTGATTGTAGAGCCTTCATTACTCATCTCTGACTTCAGCAGAAACAGGTTTGGGTTTGACATTGGCAAATTAATTGGTTATTTGTATCTCAGTGATCATTCCCTTAATTCCCTGTCTTATTTTTACAGCTTTTAGTAGAAATTCTCATGAGACCAACTCTTATTACACAGAAAAAGAAGCAGAAAAGTAAGTAAATAGGTGGTTTATCTCTTTCCCCAGTTATGCCTGATGGTTCTGCTTCAGACAGAAATTGTTCTATTTTTCTGTTATTCCCTTTCCATCCCAGCAATTTCCTGTTGATTCATTTAGGAATGAATCACTGTTTCTTTGTTCTCCCTGGTTCTGATTCGTGCTGGGATTTGGGAGAGTCACCTGTTTGTGGCACAGTTCTGGAGCTTCACACACTCAGCACAACAAACTTGACTCAAAGCACTAAATCTGCAGTCACTGGAAACTCCTCTTGTTCCTGTGGCTACAGCTACAGTGAAAAATTATTAATAATGAACCAAAAAACATTGTGTATGTCATGGGAGCTGCAGAGATTGTAAGATGAGTAGCTCAGGAGAACAGCATGCTTTTTGTTACATGGCTGCTCATTTCCACATTGCTGTAAGGACAGGGGCTGCAGTGAGTTCAGCTCAACTTTCCTGCTGGAGCAGCTTGGCTGCAGTGTTTTTATTTCCCTGTTTGAGATTCTGCTGGTGCTCTGCTGAGGGAAGGGAATGTCATGGTGCACCCTGGGCCTGCCAGCCAGGGAACTTCAAAGGTGAAGTGACTTCAACTGGAGCTTTAGGCAATTTAGGTCTGTACTGAAAACATGTTTTAAATATTAAAATGCTGTGGCAAAGCGGATTAGAATTTTTCTATGAAGCCCAGGTGCTGAGAAAACAAGCATGAGTTTCCAGTGGGAAAAACTGCGTGAACTGACTTTTTTTTTTCCCCATACAACAGTAATTTAACATGTGAAACAGAGTATTTCTTTTGGCTTCTATGACATGAAGCATTTGTATATGTGCTCTGAGCTGGCAGCCTGGAGTTGTCACCCATCCCACAGCTCTCCATGTCCCTCCCATGCCAGGGGTGTTCCTTGGCAGGGAATGGCTGCTGACTGTCTGCTCTCTCCTTGCAGTAAGTGATGACCTCATCAAGGACTGTTTAAGCATACTGTACAACACCTGTATATGTGTAAGTACAACTCTTCTGGTCACTTTTTACATGTGCTGCTTGTTAAGACAATAAACAGACTCTTTTAAGTATAATTTAAACTTACTCTGAAGCTTTGCATAAAAATTCCTTCAGTTAAATACAACATCTGATGTGTTGCTCAGATAATTTGTTTTCTGACCTGCATTGTCAAGCTGAAATTCCCTTGTTTGGATCTTTCTGTCTCTGTGTTTCCATAGGAAGGCTGTGCCAGCCTTTGTCAATGTTGCAGTTTAAAATCTGAAGCTGAGAATGGATGCCTGTTAAGCCCAGCCACAGCTGGTCTTGTTCAGAATTGGGGCTGGCAAAGGGTTTTGAATTTGATCCTGCAACTCCATGTGCTGGATTTTAGTTCAGTCCAGTCCAGTCATGGCAGATCAGTGCAAAGGAAGGTGCTGGGTTAAAGGCCTCTGGAAATACCTTGTCATTAAAATCCTGAAGCTAAAAGCAAAGGCCTCAGATTATGCATGCAGGGAACATCCTCAGGAATGTTTACTTCATCACACACCTCATTATGCCAGAACCTAGGGAACATTATTTAACAAAAATTTTAAAAAGAGCTGGTTAGTGGCTTGGAGCTCTTCCAAAACCATCAGTCTAATCTCCAGAGTTTGAGTCTTACTGGATCATGTCTCACTGATAAGGATCTGTGTACACATGGGACAGGGAAGAGAGGGAGCACTTATTTCCTTGGCTTGGATGATTTATTTTTTTAACTGCAGGTAATGCAACTTTTGCAAACTGAGAATAGCATGATAAGCTAAAAAGCAAGTTTGTAATTTCTAGACTAGCTGCTCTGTTTTAATTCACTTTGGTATTACTGCAGGGATTGGAGGAGAAGTGTCCAGGATCACAGAAATGGTCTGTGGGCAATATTAGCTGTTTTTATGTTCTCTGTAAATATTGGGGAATTATCTTTGCCAGTCTGGTTCTGTGAGCACTGGGAATGTGTCTCATGGATAAAACACAGCTTTGCAAGCAGTGAGGATGTAGCTGTGAGTTCCAGGAAAGCCTGGCTGTGCTCTCAGCAGAGCTCAGAGCATGAAAGGCAGCCTTAAACTCTTAAACTTGAGTTTCCATGCCTCAGTCTGACTTTGGGGTTCATCACCCTGTTCTTTTAGGCCAGTGCTTGATCTGGGTTGCTCAGACAGCAGTGCTGAGGTGTTGGGATCTTTAGCTTGCCAGAGTGACCCCAAGATGTGTTAGAAAGTCTCTTTTCCCACCCCAGGGCTTGAAGAAGGAGTCTGGGCTCTTCATTTCTCACTCTCAAGGTTGTTTATTGTATCTTATCTATAAAATTCTTTCTCCTGCCCTGCCGAGGTCTGTCCAGCAGGACAGTCCCAGGCACTCTGCCTGCCCCCAGGGTAGTGTTATGTCTTTATCCTAAAAACTACCTGTACAATGTTTACAATTACTTTCCAATACCCATCACCTATGTTAGACAGTGAGCTTCTACTCTAAACCAATCCAAAAGTGCCACCATCACAGCAGAAGATGGAGGCCAAGAAGGAGAAGGAGAAAGGCTGGACACACCCAATTCCCTCCATCTTGCCTCCTGAACTCCCATTCTAAAAACCTCATCATCTACTTTTCCAACCCATGATAACTTCACTATTATTCTACCTAAACTGTTGTGGCTTGCTGATCTTCATATAAAGTTGGTAATTTACTCCATGGTCATAATCATAACCACAGGTGTTTTGGGCTCTGTGCCAGGGTCTCTGAGCCCCCTGGCAGGGGTCCTGCCCGTCCTGGACTGCCAGAGGGATGTGCTGAGTTCCCACACTGAGCGTTTAGGAGCTGCTGTGTGTGCAGACCATGGCATGGAGCTGCTCACAGTTGTATGCAAAGCAGAGCCCAGCCCCTGTGCTGTGTGCCCAGGCAGGCAGGGCTGCCTTTGGATTCAGACAAGGAAAAGCTGCCTTGAGGTGAAGCCTCTCTCTCATCCTGGCGTTGTTGCCAGCACCACAGTGACTCCTCACCAGGACTGGAGATGGTTTTTTGTTCCCACAAACACATTCCCTGGTTTCAGGAGCAGCTGGCTCAGCACACATCATCTCTAGGGCTGTCCTGGCTGTGCCCTGTGGCTGCTCAGGGTGGGCTCTCACTGGGTCTGTCTGTGCTCATTTCCAGACTGAAGGAGTCACAAGGCGGCTGGCAGAGAGAAACGACTTTGTGTTGTTCCTGTTTACACTGATGACAAACAAAAAGACATTCCTACAAACTGCAACGCTCATTGAAGATATCCTGGGAGTTAAAAAGGTTAGTTACTGCTTTCTTAATATCATTTGTGTGGCTTTTCAGCCCAGTGGAGGAAAGAGAGCTGTTTCTTTGAAGAGTGGCTGAGGATAGTCCTCAAAGCTGCCATTCTCACTTCTTGTAGCTTATTTGAAACCTGCCTGTTCACAGTGGTAATTAACTTCAATCACTTTCCATAAAGAAGCCAAACTATTCCTATGGTGTCATACTTGTAGTGCTTTTACCCAGTTCAGAGAATGGTGGCAGCTGTGTCCCCATGGTCTGAGTCATTAAAGACTTGCCAATATTACAGACTAAGAAAATGAACCTCATATAAATTCAATTTTCATCCTGGCCTGCTGATTGTATTTGACATACTTCACTTGTCTTCCTCACATCTGAGAGGTTTCCTGTGTGTTCCTGGATGTTTGTCACCTCTCTGAGAAGTTGTAGGCTGGGGACACAGGGCACTTAAATCTTTTCTGCACAAACCTGGTTATTGAACTTATTTACCAGCATCATTGCAGCTCAGTGCCCTGATGTGATGCAAGTAAAATACTCAAGATGTAACCTTGGGAAAACCTTGATTGGAAAGAGTCTGTGTGCATTTTGTGGAGAAGGCCAGGAGTCTGTAACCTAATACTTTATTATTTAGAATAAGATTGAGGTTGATGTACTTCCTGAAATAGGACACAAGCTCAGTTTATCTGAACATATTTTTTTGAAAGCTGTTTTCAACATCTTTTTATTAAAAAGAACTTCTGATGAAAAGACTGAGAAATAATTTAGAAGTTCTTATCTGTGAGTTTTGAAGAAAAGACAGGATTGAAAAACAAAATTGAAGTCTAGTACCTAAACATAATTTATGTATTAAATCAGGTTGTGGTTTTGTGAGTTTTTTAGTTAAAAAAAGCCCCCCAGATTTTTTTGTAAATATAAAAATAGTATTTAAAATATGGATATCTGTACTTTTGGAATTGCTAAGCCTGACAGCTGTTGTAAATCCCAGCTGCTTCTCCTTTGCTACACTGGAATAGCCCAGAGAGCTCCCCAGGGAGGATCTGCCTGTGTTCTCTTGCTGACCACCCCATGTGACTGAGCTGCTGTTGCCTCCCCAGGAAATGATCCAGCTGGATGATATTCCCAACCTGGCCAGCCTGGTGTCCAGCTTTGACCAGCAGCAGCTGGCCAACTTCTGCAGGATCCTGGCTGTCACCATCTCGGAGCTGGACACGGGCAGTGATGACAAGCACACTCTTCTGGCCAAAAATGCCCAGCAGAAAAAAAACTTGGGCCCTTCCCGAGCTGAAATTAATCAAGGTAATTGTTGTGCTGTAACAAATCAGAATAATCTCAGCAAGGTATAAAGTTTTCCACTTCTCAACGTCACACAGTGTTATGTTTTTGAAAGATACTGGAAGTGTTGTGTCTTACAAAGCATTTTTCTTGATTCAGTCCCCTCAGACTGTTTCCTGAAAATAATGTTTCCTGTTAGTGAAACTGTGTAGCATTTGGTTTCATATGGTGTTGCTAATTAGGTGGGTAGTTTCTGTCATTTCAGCATTCTCTGAGTGGCTTAAAATAATTGGATTTGTTTTCTGTGCCTTAGCCACATCCATGGACTTCCCATTAGCAGCTCTCAATAATTCTGTGTCCTCCATAAAATATGAATTCCTGAAGTAAAGCTGCCTGCAGTGTGGTTGCTGTTGGAGCAGTTCCTTCTCTGATTTTATCTGATATTGTCCTGAACAGGATGTCTTGTCTTTATCAAAAAGAGAAGTGTGTTTAATATTAGTTATGTTCCTCAGTGTTAGCAAACCAGCCTTGGAAATCTGTGGGGCTGATCTCAGCCTTAATATTGGGCGCAGTGCAGCTTTCCTTATTGTGCTGAGTACTTCTCAGGTGCAGAAGTCTTGCCTAGAAAGATGAGTTGGAATTGAAAAAGATAAAGTCCCATCAGATGTAGAATCTGCTGTTTTCAGCTCTGGCTGTGCTGAAAAGCTTTTGGGCTTCTGAAGCAGATATTTGCATAGGCCCATGCCAAGCAAATGTTTAGCTAATCTTTTTTTATGGGCACAATCAGAGACTGATTCAAAGGCTGTACAGTATATTCTATTTCTAAAACTTTATCAGGGAGCTTATTCTTTGAGAGATGCAGCTCTCATGTAATGTTCATGGCAAAATCTTTGTCCTTTTCTCCTTGCCCCTGCAGGTGGGAAGTGAAGCTTTAGCCATGTATCTTTAATAAACAGGTCCTGTCATTAAATTATTCTTGAAGGCAAAATGCACCTCCCCAAACATTTGCAGGGCAGTGACTCCTGTTCTTGCACTGCTCTTCCTGAGGGTGCAGCTCCACAGTTAAAACTCTCACACCTGGGGCTGCTGTGGTGTGTTCTCCACCTATTTTGCTCAATGAGGAGCTAATTCAGGAACCTTTTACTTGAAAAGCTGTCAGATTTCCTCCCTGCTGCTGCAGAGAGCCAGTTCAGTCACTACAGACTAAAACCATGGTAGGGAAAATAAAGGAGGAAAGGGGAGGTTGGAGCTGCCTCCTCTTAAGCTGCTGCTTTATTTCTGCCAGCTTAGTTTTCAGCCAGATCAGTTCCTTGATAAAACTGGAGAACAGCACTGAATTACTGCTCTTTTCTAATCCATAACAGAAGAGTGTGCTGAGTTCTTCCATCTTCAGATCTTTTTAACCAGATCTTTTTAACAATATACTTCTGTATTCCTAAAGTAGATGTGCTGGTGATCTTGCACTGTAATCAAATTCTTTCTCTTTATTTTTTTCAGCTACACTTCTGAATATTCCAGGCTTCATCGAGCGGTTGTGCAAACTGGCCACAAGGAAAGTGTCTGAAACAACAGGGACTTCCAGCTTCCTGCAGGAGCTGGAGGAGTGGTACACCTGGCTGGACAATGCCCTGGTGCTGGATGCACTGATGAGAGTGGCAAATGAGGAGGCAGAGCAGAGCAGCACAGGTACCTGGCTTGCATCCCTCCCCCCACCAGCAGCTGAGGCACGTCTTAACCTTGCTCAGGGTTTGCCACGTGTTGGTTTTCCTGTCATCTGATTCCACTTTCCTTTCATGGAGGACTCACATATCAACATTTAGGTCTGACTGCTGCTTTGTTCTCATGTAGCACTGATTTTTTTACTGAATTAAAATTAGCTAAAGGAAAAACCCTCCAGCAGTGTGTGCCCTTTGCATGCCTAGCTAACACTGAGGGGCTGTGCATCCTCAGCCCTAACCTCCTCTGGAGTGATTAAAATAACCCTCCTGAGATAAGTGGCCTCACCAGCATTTTACCCTAAAAGTTTGTCTCATGACTTTGGGTTCAAATGCTTCATACAAAACAAGTGTCCCCTTCTTTAAAAAGGAAAGGTAGTTCCAGCTAAATTAAAGAAATTAATTGGAAAAACAAAAAAGTTACAGTGGAGGTGTTAATACAACCTTAGGAAAATGCTTTGGAGCATGTGTGTGGTTTGTTTCTTCACTCTTTGGGATGACAAAAATGCAGTGTATGTCTGGTAGAGCTCAAAGTACTTCATATTCCTGTTTCTGCTCTTAGCAGGGTAATTCTCTCTAAGGTTATGAAATTTATTTAACTGTGGCCTAGGAATACTGGTACTGAGGTTTGAAATAAAAATAGATTTAATAGTAAGTGCTTCTGATAATCTCCCATCTACTTTTATTACATTTCTGCCATGCCCTGGTGCAGTAGTGTATTAATTCATTTAGGTGAGCCTACTTATTTTAAGGAAATGCTGCCATTTAGTCTATTATGGAAAAAGAATTTAAAAACCTGATTTTATCTCCTCTAAATTTTCAGCTATATTTTTTCTCTAGCATCTAATTCAAATTGGTTATTTCCTGTACATTGCTATTTTTAGTTAAGGAGAAAATTCCAGCAGCTGTGTCCTGCATCTGCAGTGTTCATTGTAAAAGCAACAACTGTAACAAATCCTTTCCTGTTGAAGCTGCCTCAGTCTCACATCTTTGCCATCTTTTTCAGAGTCTTCAGATGAGAGTGGACTGGCCAACACCTCCACAAGGACACAGCTGCCCCAGTCCATGAAGATCATGCACGAGATCATGTACAAGCTGGAGGTGCTGTATGTTCTCTGTGTGCTGCTCATGGGCAGGCAGAGGAATCAGGTGAGCCCCAGGGGATGCCCACACACACACTTGGTGTCTCTTTAAACCTGAGTGCTCATGAGTGAGGTCATGGGCACAGAAATGCCAGGGCAAAGCTCAAGGTACCAAGCTGGGCAGTCCTGCCCAGAAACCAGGCAGCATTTCAGTGGGAGCAGCTGAGGCTGCTCACACCCTGCTCTGGTGCAGGAGGGATGCAGGAGGATGCAGCAAGTGTGTGGGTACCTGCATGATGTCAGGAGTTCTCCCCCCTCCTGGTACCCAGTTTGGATGGAGCCCCTTCAGGCTTTGCCCTTCTTTGGCTGCTTTCACTTTTGGAAATGCTCTGGATGATTTTTGCAGCATATTGCCGTGACTTGGCAAAGTGTTCAACTCCCAGCACTTCAGTGCTGTCTGCACTGGTCACTGCCTGCAAATCCCACTCATCCGTTCCTTGGCCTTTCTTCCTTTTAAAATGAAAAAAAAAATTGTTCCCTGCCTCACACAGGCTTATGAAGAACCAGTCACTGCAGCTTGGCTGTGGTTTGATTTAACTAGGTCAAAAGCAGGTTGTGAAGGGAAAAGCAAAGCAATCCTTGGCGAGGTTTTGACAGGTTTCCAGCTTTGGCAGTCTGCTCAGCTCAGCAGAGCTTGGCATAGCAGGGGCATTCAGATGTCCTGGACACTGGGAGGGCCAAAAGAAAGGCTGTTGTGTTAGGCAGGAGAGGCTGTGTTGTGGGCAGGGGTTGGGGCACATTTATCTGGAGTATTTTGTTCTCTGGTAGTAACCTCCCAGGGAATCAGTCACAAACAGCCCCCAGGGCAATTTCCTGAATCTCTTCATCTGAATACAGGTGCAGCTGTAGCTCAGTCCCAAACATAACTCACCTGTTCCCTCTGAACCTGCAGCAGAGCTTGTGGACCTCCCATCCCTGGAAGTGTTCAAGGCTGGGGCTTGGAGCAGCCTGGTCTGGTGGAAGGCAGGGCTTTAACATCCCTTCCATCCCAAGCCATCCTGGGATTTTGTGACTCTAAGCAGACACTTGGCATTAAAAAAAGCAGATTCTGCATAAGAGGAAGCAGAGAGAACCAGTAATTCTTGCAGAAACCATAAACAACTCCTAATCGTGTTGTCATTGCTTTTAGAAGTGCTGTTCCTGTTAGGCATGAAATAAAATGTAAACAAAGCCCAAAACATAACAAACTAGCAGAACATGGATCTATTAGAAGGACTTTTTCTTTTCCATTGTATCAAGGCAGATAATTCACCCCTGCCTGAGCTCCCCAAAAGAATTCAAGTTTATAGATTCTGCAGAAACTGCTTGCAGCCTGCACTCATCCTGCTGCAGCTGAATGGGTCCTTCCCTCCCTGGGTCACTTCTGGTGTGTTCCTGTCAAATGTGACAAGGCAAAAAATCTGCTGCTGAAGCAGCTAGCTTTGAAGATGAATTTATGTTTTCATTTCCTGGGAACACAGTTCTTATCCTTCATCTGCTATTTCTGCCCCCATGCAGATGGGGAAACCAAGGATAAAGGTGGCCTGCTGTTCACTTCTTCCCAGGACTGATTCTGGACTGGAGTTGAATTCAAATCTTGAAAGATTTGAGTTACTGCATTCCCAAACATTTCTTATCCAGAGTCAGGGTTTTTTATTTGTTTGTTTTAGGGTTTTGTTTTGTTTTTTGTTTGTTTGGTTTTGGAGGAGTTGATTTGGGGGGGGGGGGGGTTGTCCTTTATTTTGTTTTGGGTTTTTCTTTGTTTTGATTTGTGAAATCCTCTGCCTTTAAAGCACATGCTACATCCTTCATTCCTCAATCTGCATACGATTTGTGTGGCAGATCTTTTTGTGTGAATTTGTGTGAATCCCCTGCCCTTCCTGAGAGCCAGGCACTGGAGCTGAGCTGTTCTCCAAGGGAAGCTCTGGAATGCAGGCACAGCAGTGTGCAGCAGCACCCTCAGACAAGCATCTCAGCTGCTTTTTGGTGTCTTTTCTTGGAAGGAATAAGAGCACAGAATTTGTGGTACCAGTCTGAGCAGCCAGAGGACTTGCTGGTTTTAGATTGGATTCATTTCTGACAGAATTTATTAAGGGCATCACAAACCTGCTTCAGTTTGCTGTAATAATTGACATAATGGTCTGGCATTTGCTTGAAGCAAGATGCAGCCTCCCAAACTCAACCTGTCCCCAAATGAATCTCTGAATGCTTGATTTAAACTTGATTGCTGGCTAATTTGCATAAATTGATAACTCTGGTAGCAGTGACTTAACTCCTCCTGTTGCCATATTGGGGATGATCTCACCTTGGGAATAAGAGGTGTTTCTCTGCAGATCTGGGCCTTTGTTGCCTTCTCATTATGGTCACACCCTAAATTACTCTCCTTATGTATTTTTCTAGGCTGTCCTGCATGTCTGTGTTGTGGTGAAGAGCCATCAGATGATTTCCTTGCTCCTGCTGTAGGGAGCCACACTGCACACACAGAAACTCAGCTTAGCAGAGACAGTTTTCGTGTTGAGAAAGAACAGAACAATTCCTGTGAAGCTGGATGGCAGCAGGAAAAAGCCAAAGTAGCTTGAAAGTTGAATATAGAGCAGGGATTGTCTTGGCATCCTCAGGCAGAGTAATTGTAATGAGTTTGGGCTCTGGAGAGGGTGATGGAGAGGCAGAGATGTGACTGAGGAGCTTGGTCAGGTGAGCATTCAGGGCAAACTGAACTGCACAGATTTGAAATCTGAGTCATTTGGAGAGGAGCAGATTGAGGAGTTAACACTGAGTGTAGAGTGCTGTTATTTTAGTGAGGGCTGAGGCTCTTGCAGGCAGCTCAGGCTCTTTCTTGGCTCCCTCCTGCTGTGCCTGTGCCATGGAGGGGCAGGAGCACTACAGGGAGCACTTTGTTTTGAGAGATTCCTGTCCAAGAGTGTTTCAAAATAATGGAGCACCAGAGGACTCCAAGCTCAGCAGTCTGTCAGGGCAGTGTGGGTGGGTGGGAAGGAGCTGGATGCTCCTCAGGTGTGTATTTGAGGTGTCCAGCATTAATTTCTTGATTTCCATCAAGGTGGGACAGCTGGTGGCTACAGCCAAGAGTAGTGCAAAAAGCCATCAGCTCTGCTGCAAACTAGAACCAAAACCTGTAAAACAGCATCAGCTTCAGATACTTTGATTCATTCACATGTTTGAGTAAATACAACAAAGTAGATTGATCTGCTTGAAATGCTGCTGGTTACAGTTCTGGATCTTGGGACAACCTGGGCTATTTTTAAGTGATTTTGTTTGTTAATTTTAAGGAACATGTCCATTACTTGGGCACTTAATTTTTGCAGAATGTTGCACATTCCAGTCATGTGGTTTTCATTTAAAACCATATCACAAGGAATAATGGTTGTATTAAGCCTACAGCTAGTAACAATCCCACTTTCTCTTTTCCTTACTCCTCATCTTCTAAACTCCTTACATCAAAAGTATCTTAGCTTGGACTAAAGGTATTGCACAGCTGTTCACACCAAAATTATTAGCTTTTTTATATGAATAAAAAAGGTGTACCAGGCAGACTGATAAATGAGCAATTTGACTTTTTTTTTTTCTCTAAAGTTCAGCTTCTCTTTAACCTGAAGGAGCAGTGTGGTCTGGTTGTGTTACTGCTGGACTCTGCTCAGGTGTTTTGATGAACAAAACCAATATTGATGGGGTTTTTTGCCCTCAGAGGCCTGCCTGAGCAGCAACTGTGTGTCTGCAAAGGGAAAGGACACTCAGGGGATTGAGTGGCTGCAGAATATCCCCAGCTCAGCTGTTTGGTGTAAAATGCATTTTCAGTGTGCTGGAAGTGATGTCCTGATGCCCAAAGCAGCTTCCAGAGACACAGTGGTTAATTGAAGTGCTGGTGAAGAGCTTTATCCCAAAATAAATGCTTGGTTTAAACCTGTTTTCTGTCCAATGTGGATGTTTTCTATCTACATCCATTAATAGAAACTGCTGCACTGTGGTTAACACAAACATTTGCTGTTTGAGACAAGAATTCGCATCCTTTTGTCAGGGGATGACATCACTTTGCCCATCTGTTTGCAGACTGCATTAAATCTGTGTTTAGGCTGGAGCAGACATGTTTGTACCTCTCTTGTTCCCCAGGTTCATAAGATGATAGCAGAGTTCAGACTCATTCCTGGCCTCAATAACCTGTTTGACAAACTCATCTGGAGGAAGCACTCGGCCTCAGCCCTGGTTCTGCACGGACACAACCAGAACTGTGATTGCAGCCCGGTGAGCACCTCTGCAGTTCTGGGTTTTCATCCTGGCACACAATTCTGAGGAGCTGTGCTGAGTATCTGGGTGTTTGCATCATCAGTGACTTGAGATGCTGTAGCACTCAGATTTTGAGGGATTATTGATTTCATTGAAGTCTGTCCTTAGCTCATGTTAGCAATGCAGCAGGACCAGTTTAGCCTCTCCTCTCTCTCCTGGTTTGTTTGTTCATTTGAAGGAACATGTCCATTTTGAGAACTGAGAAAGGAGTAAATTTCTGGACCCTGGAGGCCAGAGGTAGAAGACAACCAAAATTCAAAGAAAAGATTCCTAGGAGAGGCACAGGGCACAAATTGTGCCACAGTCAGGTTTAGGGAGTTGGGTTTGTGTTGGACTCTTTATAGTTTTTTTTCTTTCCAAACCTAGACATTCTGAATTGATCTGTACAATTCTAAGCTTTTTTGCCTTTGCAGTGAGAAGGAATTTATTACCTGTTATGTGCATAGACTTGGAGGCAATCTCCATTTCTATTTTGGGAAGTGCAGCCTCTCCATTTGTGCAAGTCACTTGCTCTGCTGTCCAAAGGGGGTTGATTTGGAAAGGTTTTCCATTCAGCTGTTTCATGCCTGCTTGGTAACTAATGACAGCCAAAAATACTAAAGAAGTGCTGGTTTTTTTTATCTTTCTTGTCTCCTTTTAGGACATTACTTTAAAGATACAATTCTTGAGGCTTCTTCAGAGCTTCAGTGACCACCATGAGTGAGTATGAGAAGCTGTGGTGGGTTGTGGATTGATGCTGTTTGCCTGGTTGTGGTTCCAGATGTCCTGGGCACAGGGCAGGCTCCATGTGAAGGGAATGTTGTACTGTCCCTAAACTTTGTGTTCCTTTCAGCTCTTGCTGTAACAGCCTAAGAATTTGCTCTGTGGTGGGCATGTCTGAATATGTCTGAATATGGGTTTGACCATATTAAACCCATAATATGTGGGTTAAACCCAGCTCATTTTGTCTTGTGTTGAGATGAGCTGCAACATGTACAGGATGAGTTAACACTTTCTGGCTCAAGGAATAAGGAGGCATCTTTCTTCTTTTTTGCCTTTTACTGAGAGCTGACAGTGAGCCAGGGAAATACAAAGAAATCTCCTGTTTGCCTTCAGAATAAATCCTTTGGAAAACTTGGGTGTGCTGGAATAATTGGAGGGGTGGTGCAGTTTGCTTGGGGTTATTTAATATTTAATATTTAATGCTGTGCTGCTGGTACAGAGGTGTTTGAGACTTGTAGAATCCTGCATTCCATCAGTGTTGCTCTCATTCAGTCCTGGGAGATGGTGTCCATTTCCTTACAAACTCCTGTGTTAGAGCCATGTTGTACTTGAGGTGCTGCTCATTCCTAGAGCCACGCTGGTATTTTTGTGCAGGATTTTAGTCCTGTTGGATAGATTTCAAACATCAGCCTTTTTGATTGTGGGATATTAGCTTTGAGAATGCAGAGCTGCTGGACATAGGGAGGGAGGGAATGCTGGCCTGTTGTAAATCCTTCATGCAAGACATTGTTTGCCTGGCAATCACTCCAGGTATTCCAATAAAATCTCTACAGGTGATGTTACTACTTAAATGGCTGCTGCAAAAGTCTCAGGGTTGCTTGAGCAGCAAACGGCTCCCAGCTGTAGCACTGGAGCCAGTGGAATGTGTGGAATCTGTTGGGGGTTTAAATAATTACATGAACTTTCTATGAAATCACAGATAAGCTGAGTTAACTGAGGACAAGATGAGAGCAAAGTACTTGTGTGCTGATGTTCATTCAGTGAAATTGTGTCCAAAGCAGACTTGCAGAGCTGTTTATTGCAGGGAGAGAAGGGCTCTGTTCTCATTGCAGAAACTGTTCAGTCCACATCAAAGGAATCTTTACACAAGAACCTCAGTGAGCACTAACCTGAGGAGAGTGTTGGAAACAAGAAGGAACCTCACACTCATCACTGCATCCTCTGCCCCCTGAGCTTTCCTAAAAAAGAATCTTTGCTGTCTGATTTTGAACACTTGGAAAGCAGAAAGACTCTCAGGGAGCACACTGTGGGCAAAGGGGGCCCCTGGACTACATTTCTGCTCTATCAGATTTATTCTTTACAGACAAAATAATTTATTTTCATTATGAAAAGTTCAGTATTTGATAAAGAATTTGTGTACATTCCTGGGATTTATATCTACTTTTATTTGGATCTTTACTTTTCATGATCTTTTTAAATATTTCCAGGGTCAAGTTTGTTCAGATAACAAAATACCAGGATGATTGAGTCCTCTTTTGCAGATTCTGCTTTCTTACTTAGAAAGAGATTTATTACTTAAAAAGAGCAGTCACTATAGGGTAGAGAAAAATTTCAGGAAATTGTGAAAAAATTTGCTATTTCATACTTATTTTGGTCTGAAATTCAGCAAATGTTGGTCTAGATTTTTTTTTAAAAAATTAGCATTATCCAGAAGAAAATATTTACAAACCATAAGATTCCAAACAAGTAATCAAAGAGCCATAATCTCAAAGCTGGTCAGTGTTGGAAGTGGCATTTGGTAAATTTTGGAGGAGGTTTTCCTGGCTGGCCTGGTGCAGGGAGCAGAGTGGGAATGCTGTGAAGAGCAGCCAGGAGAAGGCAGCTTGCCCTTGTAGTCCTGTGCCTCTGCTTTTCATGAAATTGCATTTTTTCCTCTTGAATTCATCCTGCTTTTCTCCTCTCCTCCCCCACTGTCTTGCTTTAGGAACAAATATCTCCTTCTGAACAGCCAGGAGCTGAATGAGCTGAGTGCAATCTCCCACAAAGCCAACATCCCTGAAGTGGATGCAGTGGTCAACACTGACAGGTGAGAGGGGACTCAGGGTCACAATTTAAGAGCTTGGGAAGCACTTCCAGTGTAAGTTTGACATCAGCTGTTCTGTTTGACCTCTGTCTGTCCACCACACTTCCATTTCAGTGGCTCCTTTCAGTGGGAGGTGTCCAGGCTTGTGGGATATTGGTGGTCATTAGCAAATCTCAGGTGTGCTTGTGCTCAGAATAAGGTGCTTTAAAAACAAAAGCAACTTTAAAACCCCTAAAAAGAGGGGTTTCTGTTTGTGGCTCAGACTTCACTGTGATGTGCTGGATCTGCTTGTCTGGCTGTCCTCATGTTGAGTATTGCCGACAGACCTGGAAAATAATATGTCATCCCTCAGATCATTTAATTGCTATTAAATCTTAGCTCTGACATTCAGGAGCAGTGTGTGCACACAGAAATGTCCATTTCCAGGCTGCATGAACACATCCAAGTGTCTGCTGAGAATATTTTACCAGCAGCTAATAACCAGAATAAGCTAAATTAGATTAGCATGTTAAACCACTTAGAGAATCTCTTCTGTTGCATTTGAGTATCTGTTAGATGGACTGTTTTGATCTAATAATCTCTTTAATACATGATTCTGGTGTATCAAGCTCAGCAGATGGAAGGTTGTTTGCAGAATTTATTTTGTCAGAGTACTCCCAGGGTATCAGCAGGGACTTGGTCTGCACAGAGCAGATTTACCTCACTCCAAAAGGGAATCTCTAAGAGGATTTCTAGATTACAGTTATTATCATAATACTGTGTCTAATTGGGAAGAACTTTTTTTTTTCACCCCTAGCATTTAGTTTTCATGTTGCTTTTCTTGATACATGAGATCAGGGCATTACTTGTGAATGAATTTATTGCAAGTGGATGCTCCACTGAAGGTGCTGTTTAATACAAGTAAAATTGCAGTTGTACAACCTAATGTAGCACACAGCTTTCCATACTCTGCTCTGCCTCCTAAATGGAATTTAGACTTTCCTTTACATTTTTGAGCGGAAAAAGAAGGGAGTTCTTTCATTCCTAAGCTCAAATGTAGTATTTTTTTTTTCTTGATTCACACAAGGTGTGAATTGGTATTTCTGAAATTATTAAACTTCTGAGAGAAAGTTTTTGTTTTGAATTTATTTGGAAGTCACGTTGCAAGTATTGCAGATATTTACCAAGGGCAGTGAGGAGAACTCCTGTGCTGGTAGAACTAGCACAATATTTGTACTGTGTGCTTCAATACTGAGATTTTGATCATCAGAAGCTCTGGAGCAGTGACTGGATTCAGTGCTCAGTGCTTGCCCAGCCCTTCCACTCAGCTGTCATTTCTCACCTGCTGCAGGAGCCTTGTCTGTGATGGGAAGAGAGGTTTGCTGACCAGACTGCTGCAGGTCATGAAGAAGGAGCCAGCAGAATCCTCCTTCAGGTGGGTTCACTTTGCCTCTGAGGAGGTGTTTGAGACCCCTGGGATGTAGCTTTGGTTTTGTCCAGCTTAGAGCTGCTGAGAGTGTTGGAGAACAAGCTGTGGAAAGGTCTGGCTTTGTTGTGCAGGTGGGAAGAAATCACAACCAGTGATTTTCTGCAGGTTCAACGGGTCTGACTCCACTTCAGAGTGGATTGAAATTCCAGTGATTCCAGTTCAGGAAGCAGGATTTAAATTGCAGTTGTAATCCAGTACTTCCCTTGCCCCAAAACCAACACCTCCTTTCTCTTTCTCAGGTTCTGGCAAGCAAGGGCAGTTGAAAGTTTTCTGCGAGGCACCACCTCCTATGCAGACCAGATGTTCCTCCTCAAGAGAGGGCTCCTGGAGGTAAGGAAATTTATGCCAGGCATCCTCCATAGCAATCAAGAAGGATTTATCTGCTGTGAACCAAAAGTGGATAAAAATGTAGTGTTAAATATTGTGCTGGGTTTAAAACTCAGCAGGAAATGCCCCCTTGGAGTAGAGGAGGAATAAACAGTCAGGAAGATAAGTCAGGATCACAGTTTACTGGAGAAATCACAATAGATGCAACAATAATAATAATAAATGAAAATCTGCCCCTTATTTCTGTGTAACTGTGGCTGGGAACACTTAAAAAATACCTGTAATTCTGCTTGTGGCAGCCAGATGTGGCCATTTGTATCACCTGCATCACTGGGAACTCATTTTAACAAAAGACTCATCTGAATTATAATCTTTAGTTGGTTTTGTGGCATTCAGTCACCCAAGAACTTGCAGATAAATGCTTTAAATACTGATTGAATCACAGGCTGTGTTGTGCTGCTGGCTTGGACCAAGCTGTGGCAATAACATGTTTTCCTCCCCTGCCAGCATATTCTCTACTGCATTGTTGATAGTGAGTGCAAGTCACGGGATGTGCTTCAGAGTTACTTTGACCTTCTGGGAGAGCTGATGAAATTCAATATTGATGCATTCAAGAGGTTCAACAAATACATCAACACAGATGAGAAGGTAAATATTTGTAAGATCTGTCCCCTTTGGCTCAGATTACACCCTTTTATAAGCAAACATAGCACTAAAACTCACATTCATTTGGGTTTGGTGTGGTTTCAGAGCTTGGGGCACAATAAACATTAAGGGCTGAGTTGCCAAAGCCTCTCAGTGTTTTCAGCAGTGCTCCAGCTGTCCTGAGACACTGAGTGCTGAGCTGGTCAGCAAACATTGCCCTGTTCCATGATCAGGCAGGCCTAAGGTCAGGCTCAAGGGTAGCAGAACATTTCCTGTGCAGTTGCCAGATTTGTGGTTAAGTAATAGTTGTGGACATTGAGACAGCTCCAAAAAATCTTTTACTGGAGCTTGCAGTGGGAATTCCTTCATGAATAAGGCTTAAAATACTTGATACTGCAAACAGACGTAGATATTTGATGTTATTTGAATTTAGAGCCACTTTAAGAAGCCATGGCTTATGTAATTAACTATAAAATTGAGCTGCACATCAATGGGCAGCTCTATACAAAGTGGTTTCATGCTCTTGTGCACTTTGGACATTTAACATCAGCTGGTGGGTAGGTTCTGAATGTCCTTACACTGTTTTTTTGTTGCTGTAATTTTTCTCTCATTGCTGTTAGGTCTGGTAGGCTTTGGAGAAGGGATGTATAAATGTATTTTAAAGAGCTGTATTTATTTTTGGGGTTTTTCTCTAGTAAATGAACTCAGACATTCTAGAGAATGTCTTTATATTTCCTCTGTGCTTCCTGTGTATTGATCTCTGACTGGGTTTAGCTCTCATTTTGTGTGACTCCCTCACTGTATTCCTCCCTAGTGCTGTCTGCTTGTACAAAATCAGTGTAGGAAAACATGGAGCTGCAGGAATTCCCCCTTTCAAAACAATTATGGTATGAAATCTCACTTTCAATGGAGTGACATAGCTTCAGAAGAGATTTTAGGGGTGCCAGGATGGCATTTATCTATTCCATAGTGTTTTTAAGGGATCCTTTGGTCAGCCCTCAGTGCCAGTGTTGGCTTGGGCAGGGTCAGGCAGAGCTGGGAGAGATGTCTCCTCTTACCTTGTTAGACATAACAAAAAGATAATGACCCTGAGTATAAATATACTTAAATCTTTGAAATTCAACACTAAAAAGTGTTTCTGTTCAGTTCCAGATCTTTTTAAATCAGATCAACAGCTCTCTGGTGGACTCAAACATGCTGGTTCGCTGCATCACGCTGTCCCTGGACCGCTTTGAGAATCAGTCTGATGCTAAAGGTGAGCAGTGGGGTGGGGCTGGGGGGTGTTCAGTGCTGATAATGGTTAATTTAAATCTGGGCTTTGACACTTTGGGGGTTAGACAAGGAAATGCCACATGGAAAATTTGAGCACCAGTTCTTACTGTCCTGATGCTTGGATCAGTGTGTCTGAACCTCCAGCACCTGGATATAGGAGTGTGCCTCCTGTTGACAGAGTGACAGAACTATCCTTTGTCCCCTCAAAAAGGAAAGAAGCCCAGAAGTTTCTCTCTCTCCTCAGTTAGATGAAAAAGACACCTCATAGGCCTGGGGGACTTCACCTCAAACTTAAGGATAGCTAATTCGACAGAAGCCAAAAAGTCCTGCCTGGGCAATTTACTAGAAAAAGAAGTGAACAAAGAAACTAATCACTTTTGTGAGGTGTTTTACCAGGAGCTAACACCTTCACCTAGCTCGATTTTTCTCTGTTTGTTATTTTGCCTTTTATTAAACCTTTTTATTTCCAACACTGCAACAGAAGCCATCTTGCTAATTTTTATGCCTTCTAAGGTAGCTGAGCTATCTTGGGTGTGTTATAGACCTCCACGAGCTGATGAGACCTGGCTCAAAGGAGCTACTGTAATGTGGTGGTGTTCACAGGGGTCCTAGGATGAGGGAAGAGATGAGAATCTTGACTCCATGTTTCAAAAGGCTGATTTATTATTTTATTATATATATTATATTAAAGAAAATGATATATTAAAACTATACTAAAAGAAGAGAAGAAAAGATTTCATCAGAAGGCTAGCAAGGAATAGAAAGGATAATAAAATCTTGTGACTGACCAGAGTATCTGAGACAGCCGGACTCTGATTGGCCATTAATTAGAAACAACCGCATGAGACCAGTCAAAGATGCACTTGTTGCATTCCACAGCAACAGATAATCATTGTTTTTCTTTTCCTCTGAGGCCTCTCAGCTTCTCAGGAGAAAAAAGTCCTAACAAAAGGATTTTTCATGAAATGTGTCTGTGACACTCTAACACCTGGTGGTTGTGTTTCTGCTCTTGCTGCAGTGGCAGAGGTCCTGTCCGAGTGCCGCCTCCTGTCCTACATGTCCCAGATGTCCATGAGAATGTCATTCCTCTTCCGTCTCATCAACATCATCCATGTACAGACACTTACACAGGTAAGGAGCTGCCAGACCTTGCACTTGCCTTACTGGGACTGCAGTGGTGAGCAGGGCTGAGCCTCTTGTCCCTGGAGGACACCCCTGTCCCTTTTTCCTTGCCTTGTGTGCAGGAACACTTCCACTGTGTGCTCCTCACAGGCTTGTTTTATAGGAACATGTATACAACGGCTGTCTTGGCATTTAAATTTTTTTGCTGTGTCATTTTTACTTCCAGGAAAATGTCAGTTGTTTGAACACAAGTTTAGTTATCCTAATGCTGGCCCGAAGGAAAGAAAAGCTCCCTTTTTATCTGCGCACCTTGCAACAGATGGAATACACAGAGAAATACCCTGGCTTCATCCTGAACAACTTCCACAGCCTCCTGCGGTTCTGGCAGCAGCATTACCTCAACAAGGACAAAGACAGCACCTGCTTAGAAAATGTATGTGACCCTCTTAGCATGGCAACACCTGCCTGCCAGCCCCCTGGCAAAAATGGGAGCTTGGGTAGGGAAAGAAGGGAGGGAGTTCTGCCTCCAGTGTAGCTCTGTGGTGCTTTTCACACCTCAGTCAGGCTGCCACAAGGCAGATGCTGGGTTTCCCCAGATAATAGAGCCTGAGGTGGCTGTGGCACACAGGAGTGTGATTTGCCAGTGCTGAGGGGGAGGGAGGACAGAATGCAGTTCCTAGAGTAGTTAGCACCTTAGCCAGACTGTTCCCTCTTCCTGGTGTTGCAAACAGTGCAGGAAGAATATCTGATGTAGCTGCTGGAAGTCAAGGGAACAGCCTGCAGGTTTCTGTGCCAGAGCTGGCTTGTCCTGGGGCACTGGTGGGTAGAAATAACCAGCTATCCAGTTATGTGGGGGACATGTGGTCTGGTGTTAGGCTGCTGGGCTGGCATTTTGGTTTTGAGGGAATAATGCAGGAGGGGTGTGAGCAGGGAGTGTGTTGGGTTTTGTGCTCTCAGGAGCAGAAGCTACTTCAGCATTGGTTTATCTGCAGCACCGGAGTCCCAGTTTGTGTTTGGACTGGACAGCAGAGAAGTTTGAATTATGGATGTAGTGGCCCAGGCAGGCTGGGGTCACCCTGTGCTGCTCTTAGCAGCTGCCACAAGCACTGGGAGTCCTTGTCTGCCTCTGGAGAGTGTAGAGGGTGTAGTTGTTCAACACCCAGGGGGGGAGGGCAGAGTGGGTAACCCAAAGTGCTGGTCACACTGTCGGGCTGGGCAGCTCAGGCTGAACAGGGAGTGATTCTCAGCTTTGGGAGGTGTTCCCTGCTGTGGCCTCCACTGACCCCCCTGTTTTCTGTGCCCACAGAGCTCCTGTATTAGTTTTACCTACTGGAAAGAGACTGTTTCGATACTGCTCAGTCCGGACCGGACGTCCCCCTGTGCCATAGTCAGCTACATCGACGAGGCGTACATGGACATTGACAGAGACTTCTCCGAGGAGTAATTGCCACCTCCAGCTTGTGATGGGCAGCTCGGAGGGTCCCTCCCAGCCCGGGGATTTTCAGGGATACGCTGTGTAGTGTGTGTGTGCAGCTCGGAGCTGCGGAGCGTCGTCCCACCCCCGCCCCTGCCGGCCCCCAGCTCTGACCTCTGAGACTCGGACAGCTCTCTGGGCAACACATTCAGGGATGTATCTTCCAGTTGTTCTGGGATAAAAATAATCACCTGCACAAACCAGCCTGTATTATTTTTTTTCCTCTCTCCCAGTCCGGCGGGGCTGGCAGAAGGTGTTTTGCTGACGTGAGGGTTCTCTTCTCTGTATGTGCCGGTTGAGGTGTGGCTCTCTCAGGGCTGCCAGGACGAGCAAGTTGAAAAGCACAGCAATTGCCCTCCAAGTGTGAGGTCCAAGGAGCCCATCTGAGCAGGACCCCAGCACCAGCCACATGCAGAGCCACCACGAGGACTCCCTGCAGGTGTTAACTCTTCCACCGGGCTTTGGAATCAGGGCTTTGGGCTTGGTTAGAGCATGAGTGTGTGTGTGTGTGTGTGCTTTTAATTCCTGAGAGCCCCAGCTCCAGTCACCTCTTTACCATCGCCTTTTGGATCATTTGGTACTAAATCTATCTGTGCATTAGGAGAGAACCTCTGTTCCTGCTGTCCTTCCTGCACATCCTTCCCATCCGGAGGCGTTTGCAGTGCTGGAGAACAGAGACATTTCAGCAGTGGTGGAATTGCAACAGGGGTTGGCTTTTTCATGGAGCACTAGCATTAAAATGTACTAATTTTTTAAACTTGCGGCTTGTCCCTTCTTGGGTAACTAATCTGGTTTTAAAATCCTTTTCAGGACCATTGCTCTTGATGTTAACCTGCTATGCCTGGAAGTCTTATGTCAGTCTCTGCTTTCAGCCCTTAATATCAACACACACATTAATCTTGAAAGTGCAATATTTGCTGGAGATGTCCGTTTTTTCCTGGATCTGTTTTAATCAGAATGTGTTAAATGCTGGGAATAAACACTCCTGGTTGAAAGTAACGTTGTAGGATATGTTGGGAAGGGGGAATGGGGTTTTGGCAGTCTTGATTGCCAAACCTGCATGTGCCCTGCCTGCTCACCAACACCATGTTGCTCCAACACATTCCAATACCCAGGAATGAGATACTACACTTAAGCCACTACATTTAAGTCAGAAACATGTCTTGCAGCTACAGCTAAAAGAAATCAGTTTTGAAATGCATCATCTGAATTTTTTTAACATTTTCTAATTTATTTGACGAGATGACTTCGGCTCTGTCCAGGCTCCAGAGGGGTGAGGATGTCCCAGAGCTGCAGCCTTTTGTCTTGTTGTTGCCAGCAGCATGAAACCCACCCTGAGGCTCCCTGTGCTGGGGCTGGAGGAGTGAAGGAGGCTCCAGCCCCAGGAGTAGGACTTGTCTCTGAGCATCTCCCTCCTCCTTTCTCTTCTCCCACTCCTCGGTGTCCTGCTGTGGGCTCACAGGGTGGTCAGAGCTGCTGAGCTCGTGCATGAAGCTGGAGCCTTGCAGGGGATCCTGGTGTCCCTCCCTGGGAGCTGCACTCTGCTCTGGTGAGGGTACCCTGGGGAGCTTCTTGTCATGGCAGCTTCACCTCTGTTCCTCACCAGGTCACCCCCAGCCTGCCCTTCCCTCCCCTCAGCTCATTTCTTTCTCATCTGTACTTTTTTTGTTCTTGGGTATTTGTGTTTTTGGTGTATCTTTGCTTCTTCTTAACTGTAATAGATGTACACTTCAAATAAATGCTTCAAATTAAAAGGCTTTTAAGTTAAGGGATGCCTTTTCCACAGTGTAGTTAATGGGTGCATCCACTGATTGCTGCTGTAACCCTGCAGTCTCTCTCACTCCCCTCTGTGTTTAAAGGACAGTTTGGGGCCCAGCTGCCTCTGGCCTTGCCCCTGGGCCTGGGGGAAGCTGAGCTGAGCCCACACCATCTCTGGAGGTCCTCCCACGCCTGGCAGCACAGGCTGGGCTTTGCTTTTGGGCTGACTGGGCAGAGAAGGGCACAGGGCAGAAACCCCTGGCAGCTCCTGCAGGGATGGAGCGAGCTGGGCTCCAGGGAAAGGCTCTGCCCCAGGGCACAGAGGGTCACAGGCAAATCCCAGCTGGGGCCACGTTCCTTTGGCATGTCTGTCCATGCCAGATGCCACAACACCCTCTGGGTGAGAGGGACCAGACCCATGCAGGTGGGCTGGGAGGGAGGTGGGACCCCTGGCACTAACAAATACCTCTGAAGTATGCACTGTCCCTGTGGATTGCTGAGGTTCATGCTGCCCTGATTAATGCCGATTTGCTAACTGCAAATAATCATATTAAATGGAAACTATTAAAGAAATCTATTTTAAAGAAATGAGTGGAGGTGTCTTTTCTTTCCAGTGTCTTTGCCAAAGCCATAACCCCCTCCAGGGCTGTAAGAGGGGGCTTTAAGTATTCAGGAATAGTGGCTGAGGTCTGCCTCAGTTCTGGTCCCCTGCAGTTAGACGTGTTCTGGTGGGGAGGTGTGAGGAAAGGGCTGTTTTCCCAAAACCCATCCCACGCCAGGGCCATAGAGCTGGGAGAGAGAGGACTGAGCTTCTCTCCTGCCTGTACCTCCCTGTGAAGATGCTCTAGGGGCAGAGGCCAGGCCCTGGTTACCCTGTGACACACAACACAGCCAGTCCTGGTAATCTACGTTTATTTATGCAAAGCAAAGCTGACAGTGACTGTTGCAGCCACTGGCCTCCAACCTACAGCAGCAGCTGGAACAGGGCAGAGCAGGGCAGGCAGGCTCCTAATGCTGGAAAAAATCCCCAAAGGGCTTTGGTGAGAGGAGGGATCTGGAGGCACAGAGCACTGCCGCCCTTCAGCCCCAGCATCAGTGGGAGGTGAGGCAGCAGTGCCACAGCTGGTGTGGCTGTGCCTGTGGTCCCTGCCCTGGCTCCAGGCTGGCAGGAGCCGTGCCCAGCTCCCCACGCTCCCATTCCAGGGGTGCCCACCTTGGAGATGACCACGTCCCTGCTGCGGGCGCGCAGTTTGTTGACCTGGCTCTCGGCGATGTCGGCGCGTTCCTCGGCGTCGTCCAGCTCGTGCTGCACCTTGCGGTACTTCACCAGGTTGGAGTTGGCCTGCTGCTCCTGGCAAGGAGAGAGGAGGGGAGGGTGCATGGGGCACAGGGGACAGCAATGAGCTCCCCACATTGCAGCCCTGGAGGCAGTCCCAGGGAGGGACAGCCCTGTCCCCCATCCCAGAGCAGTGACGGGCACTTACTGCCTCCTCAAACTGGCGCTTGTAGCTCTTGACCTTGCTCTGCAGCTTGTCTATCAGGTCCTGCATCCGAGCCAGGTTCTTCCGGTCTTCCTCAGCCTGCAAGTGCCCCAGCTCCCTTAGGCAGACCCCAGCAGAGCCTCACCTCCACCTTTATCTGAGTCCCAGTGGTGCCAGGTGACAAACACAGCACCAATGTACCCCACCAACCCAGCCTGGTGTCACAGCACCCGTCCCTTGGTCCCCCCTTGTGTCCCAACACCCAGCTCAGGAGGTGCTGGGAATTGCCAGAAGGACCCAGTTGTGACATGGAGAAGCTTGTGCAGTTGTCATTGCCCACACAGAGCCCAGAAGCAGCCCAAGCTGGGCTGAGCTTTGTGGATGGGTTCTGGGGTAACAGAGGCCAAGCAAAGAGGATTTGTGCCAGCTGCTGTGGGACCAGGGCTGTGTACCTGGTAGCTCAGCTCCTTGATCCTGCGCTCGTACTTGCGAATGCCCTTCTGGGCCTCTGCCATCTTCTTCTGCTCCCCATCCAGCTCTCCCTCCAGCTCCCGCACCTGCAGGGGGCACAGACTGCCTCAGCACTTGGCTCCCAAGCACCAGCACCAGCCCAGCTAAAGCCAAGCCACCTTCCCAGCTCAGAGAAACCACAGTAGAGGCTAAAATCATCCTGAGCAGGGCCCAGCCTGGCAGGGCCTTGGGGACTGTCCCTTGAACCCCCAGAGGCACCACCTGTCCTCAGAGGGATGGGGCAGAGTCTGGTGCCACAGGGACTGGGGCAGCCCCAGAAGAACACAGCCAGGGATCTGTCCCTATTGTCTCACCCTGGCCTCCAGCTTCTGGATCTGCTTCTTGCCCCCCTTGAGGGCAATCTGCTCTGCCTCGTCCAGGCGCATCTGCAGGTCCTTGATGGTCTGCTCCATGTTCTTCTTCATGCGCTCCAGGTGTGCGCTCGTGTCCTGCTCCTTCTTCAGCTCCTCTGCCATCATGGCAGCCTGCAGGGCCAAGAGCAGGGGGACATCACCTCACGGCCAGGCAGCCCTGCCAGACCAGGGCTCAGTGGAGATATGAGACACACACAGCAGCCCCCACTACTCTCTTACATCTGTGATGGCTTTCTTTGCCTTCTCCTCGGCGTTGCGACACTCCTGCACCGCATCCTCCACCTCACCGCTCAGCTGGGAGACATCTGCCTCCAGCTTCTTCTTCTGGTTGATCAGCCCCATGTTCTGCACACAGAGCAGGTTCAGTGTGACCAGGGCTGGTCACTCAGCACGGCTGGACAGACTCACCAGTGCAGACAGGGGGCTTGGCAGTGCCTCCTCACCTGGGAGTGGAGCAGGGTGACCCTCTCAGTGCTCTCCAGCAGCTCCTGCTCTGCCAGCTTCCTGCTCCTCTCGGCCTGCTCCAGCGCCGCCCGCAGCTCCTCCACCTCTGCCAGCAGCAGGTTGCTGCGGCGCTCCAGGGCCCCCACCTGCTCCTTCAGGTCATCATTGTGGCGCTGGGTGTCATCCAGCTCCATCTGCAGGTCCTGTGGGGCAGCGTGGGGTCACTGGGGACAGCCAGGAGCCAGGCTGGCAGCAGGGACGGCACCGAGTCTGTCCCAACCTTGATCTGGGCCTGGAGCTGGCGGCCCAGCTGCTGGAACTCAGCAGCCTGGCGGTTGGCGTGGTTCAGCTGGATCTCCATCTCGTTCAGGTCCCCCTCCATCTTCTTCCTCAGCCTCACAGCCTCGTTCTTGGCCCGGGCCTCTGCGTCCAGCGAGGCCTGCATGGAGTCCATGGCGCGCTGGTGGTTGCGCCTGCAGGACAGGCCATGCATCAGCCACGTCCCCTGGGGACACCCAGCCCTGCCAGCTCTGCCCCTGCAGTGATGTCCCAGCCTGTCCCCTCACCCCACACACCTCAGGTTCTCAAACTCCTCGTCCTTCTCTGCCAGCTTCCTGTCCATGTCAGCCTTGATCTGGTTCAGCTCCAGCTGGATGCGCAGGGTCTTGCTCTCCTCGTGCTCCAGGGCTCCCTAGAGACAGCTCAGCCATGGGAAGGTGGTTCCTGGGAAGGGGGCTCCCCCTGGCCACCCATCCCACCCTGGCTTTGTCCCCCAGCCCATTGCTATGAGGGGCAGAGCAGGTGGAGCCACCCCAGAGCCTGCAGTGTTTGCAGGATCCCCATGAATGGGATTGCCAGGGGTCACAGCCTGGCTCAGGACTGTCACCCCACACAACCAGAGCTGCAGGGTGGGCCAGTGGCTCCTGGGGGCAGCAGGAACATATGGGAAACAAGGACTCACCTCAGCCTCCTCCAGAGCTGCCTGGATATCGCTCTTCTCACTTTCCAGCACTTTCTTCACCTTCTCCAGCTCATGGATGGTTTTGCCTCCCAGACTGATCTGGTCAGTCAAATCAGCAATTTCCTCTGCCAGGGACAGAAGGAGTTTGGTCAGGAAGGAGTTTGTGGGACCAGCCCTGGGCAAGTGACTTCCCCATCCCCCTGCCCAGGCTCAGCTGATGTCCCTCAGACCCTCAAAGAGCAGCCAAGGCTGTGCTTGGGAACATTTCTGGGAGAGAGCATAAAAGAGGCATTAAGGATCTGGGAGACCTGTTTGTCCAACAGCAACACGCCCAAGGCAGCATCATGGCACTTGGCAGCACCATTTGGGGACAAGAGCCATCTGGGGACAGGAGCCAAGTGGCTGTGCCAGTCCTGCCAGAGTGTGCCCAGCACGAGGGCAGGACACACACTGGCATCCCAGCAGGGCTGTGCATCCCTGCAGGGGATGTGCTGAGCAGCAAAGCCTCTCCTGGCCAACAAGGGAC